GTTTACTGTTTCATTTGATTATGTTTACATGAGAAAGCCAACACACTGATATTCTATTTTAAATTAATATTCTTCTTCTTCTGAGATGAAAGGCTCTAGGGCATTCAAGACATATCCACCAAATTAGGGTCAGACCTTCAAACTGTTTTGACTTATGGCTGTAATGCACTACACATATTTTGCCCTGATTTGCAGTCTGGACGGTGGATGTGTAAATGCTAGTTGCTGAAAGTCAGAGCCAGTCTTCAGATTTTGGCCAGGCTGAGTTGACAGGTTTCGCAGAGTGTAGTGTATAATGGGCACAGATTTTTTTTAAGCTTCTGACTATGATTCCATCTAATCAGAGGATATGAAACATGAAAGAGGTGATTTTAGAACACGTATTATTTATATTTGTCACACATCTCCTAGCAATTAATGTAGTGCATTGCAGCCTTCAGTGTGCTATAATTTGGAATGTCATAGCAATCACCCAGAACACCCTGGTAACCATCTTGCGACATCCTAGCGACCCCATGGTCACTACCTGGCAGTCACCTAGAACGCCCTAGCTACACCCTCTTGACCACCTAGAGCACCCTAGCAACTGCATAGCAGCTACCTAGCAACCATGTGGCAAAACCTTAGCAACGGCCACGCAACCACCCAGTACAGCACTGAATATCTTTTAAAACTACTTTAAACGTTCTAGCTAGGCTCTCTTAAGCCAACATCAAAGTTTCCTGGCTCACTTAAATACACACTTAATAAATTAAATATGAATTTAAAACAACACACTAATAAATCATTGTAAATTATTTTAATTATCACTGACTCTCTGTTCCAGGCTTCTCATGGAGCACATCCTTCTTGTCAGTGTCCTTCACTTTAGTGTTGGCCTGGAGGTATCTAATATATTTTACTTCACCTTACATTTGTCATCATGGCAATATAGTCCACACTCACTCATTCATTCACTCACTGTTGTTTTCAGTGGTATAATGTTATAAGAATCTTTATCATAGTGTGTAGATTTGGTTGATGCTGGCTAATTTCTTACTTTCTCTCCTGGTTTCCCTGAGGTTGGAGCTCATTTTCTGGAGACTGTAGTCCGTCAGTTTGATAAAACCTACAGTCAACTTGATGCTACAGACAAAGAATGTGACAACTTGATGTCCATTATTGCCCACCTCTACAACTTCCATGTGGTCCATGCTCTCCTGGTGTTTGACATTCTGAAGAAGCTGGTGACACGTTTCAGTGCAAAGGATGTAGAACTGGTTCTGCTGGTGCTGAAGAACGTTGGGTTCGCTCTGAGAAAGGATGACCCGCTAGCTCTTAAGGAGCTGATCTCCGAGGCTCAGCGGAAAGCCAACGCTGAAGGAGAGCGTTTTCAAGACCAAACAAGGGTAAGACACCTGTCTTCTAGTGCTTAGGAGTTATCATATTATATTTGCTTTTAATCATTTACTAGACTCATTGATCCAAAGCAAATTACAAACGTGGACAACTGAGGTGAATCACAAATGAGGTCTTATGCTGCAGTTGGTCTCTAGTGAAAACATTTGTTATGTTGACTTGCTTGTCAGATTCGGTTTATGTTGGAGACTATGCTGGCGCTGAAGAACAATGACATGAGGAAGATTCCAGGTTATGACCCTGAACCCGTGGAGAAGTTAAGGAAACTTCAGAGGACTTTGGTGAGAAAATGACTGATGTTAAATTGCATTACTTATGTAATTTTCACTGTTACATTTATAAGGTGGACTAGCAATGCAAAAATGCTTAGAGTTGGTAACTAGTTTATATCCACCTGTATTATCAACAATAAGTTCGTTCAAGCCTTAATAGTAAAATAAATATTTGGTATTTTTGGCGCTATATGTACTTCTCGCTTTGTCCACCAGGGGTCAGACTAACTTCATAGTTTGGTGTGGTCACATTGATCTGACTTTTGTACAGTATTTTTTTTTTT